ACGTATCTCTCGACTCCTTCTTCGGCTTTCTCTTCGGTTCTCGCCAGTTCTTCGCGGGAAGCTTCGACGAGGGTTTCGACTCGGGTTTTTCATAAGCTTTTCTTTACGTTTAGTTTATGATTTCTCGTGTTCTTCATTTTGATGCTATGTTTGTAATGAACTGAGCATTTTCTTCTAGGGAAATGAAACCTTGTATATATTGATTTTGATTTTCAGATATATGATCTATTTGTCGTTCTTTGATCGTGTTTATGTTTTCATGTATTAAATGCTTTCGATTGTTTGGCCACCAGTTGAATTGATTCAAAATGGGAATGCACTCGAGAGAGGATTTCTCGTTTGATTTTAGGAAAACATAGCTCGGGTTGTGGAAACGGAGACGTGATGCACCTCGGGTAGCCCTTAAGGACTTGGCGTAAATGCTCTCTTAATATCAGGTTCTGAACGGAGACGTCGGACCTGTGGGTAGACTCTAACTACACTGGAGACGGGGGTTTGGGTATTTTAGTGTCTGGGTTAGAGAATATAGAATTGACATTTAGATTCGGATTTGTAGATCTTTATCGATAGTACACAGGTGGATTTTACCCTAGAAGCCATCACACGTCGGAATTCCTCGCTTTTCCTGGCGGACCGTTGTTTTTATTTTTGTTTCCTGTTGGCTTCATTTCATCCCCCACCCTTTCGATTGTCTAGATAAAGTTTAGGATAGTATAATTACGGTACTTGGTAGATTTAGGAACTTAATTCCCTGCGGATCGATATCTGTAATTCACTATTCTACAAAACGCGATACTGTACACTTGCGTTTTTTCATACGTAGGTTTTACGCGTATCAGTGCTATAAGAATCCAAAGTGGAAGAGAAAAGTGAAAACCTTTTAAAAGGTTAGGCTTAAAGTAAGAAGGTTCTGTCGGAAATAAATGGATCGACTACGAGGAAACTTTCTAGCTAGTAGCCACACTTTATTCTATTCATATTCCTAAAATCTGTCCGTGCCATGTTTTAATTGGGCAGATGGATGTCAAGATTTCGTATCTCTTGACGAGTGCATTTCACGATGCAAATTAAATGGATTTTAGCTTAGAGCCATATGCATTGTAATGCAAACTTAATAAATTCATTTATGAATTTAAGCAAAGTGCGCATATCATGTGATACTTAGATTGATCATAGAATCAATGTTTTGATTTTGATTAGGAATCTAGATATATCACATTTTGTAATGGGAGCGTGGTGAAAGCCTTAAAAGACATATTAGATAATTAATAATTTATTTTTTAGAAAATGATTTGTAAATTATTTAGGTAAGGGTATTGTTTCTCGAGTCAAATCAATATGGATAACTTGAGTGAAACTAGTTATGTCGTATGGATCATTGGTTATCAAGCCGCCGCAGCCTTCGTTATCACAAGTAATATGTAGTTTCGATTTTTTTTTTTCTTTTATATTGAGTTAGGATTTGATTGTTTGATATGGGTAATTAGGATTTGATTGTTTTAGGTAAGAATGATCGTTAATTAGTAATGGATGCATCTAAATTCAGTCGATTTGAGCATTGATTAGAAATTTCGTGGGTTGTTCTTCGTTTCACAAAAATCGACCTGAAAGTGTCAATTTTTTCAAAATTTTTGACAGATTGCTGTCGAAAATTATGCAATAATCGACACCTTGTTATTGATTTTTGTGAAATTTTTGAAATTGAATACTTTCCTAATTCGACAGAAACATGTCGAAAGTTTTGGGAAAATCGACAACTTCCTGTCGATTTTTCTAAAACATTCGACAGGTTGCTGTTGAATTGTTACTGTATTTATTTTATTTTTTAATTTTTTATTTCTTTCCTATTTTTATTTGTTTGTTTTTTATATTATGTATATTTATTTATTTATTTGTGTGTTATTTTCGGGTTTTTGCAGTGGAAGAACCACGTGAACCTTGTATACCCCGACTGTCTCGAACAATAAGAGGAGGAAGGAATTATCCGATAAGGGCAAGGGCAAGGCAATCACGACCAAGAAAAAGACCACGACCAAGAAGAAGTCTGGAGAGGGTTCTTCCTCAACGAATACGGTGCCGGCTCTACCTTCGACTGTAGAAGTTGGTGATTCGAGCAACGAACCGGTCCGAGGTCCCGAGATATCGGAATTGTACACAAACTTTTATAAGCACATTGCTTATCATATTGTGAACGGAGGTCCAGAGCGCTCGGAGCGCGGCTCAGAATTTCGAATTTGGAATCACACAGGAACTTTGAAAGGCTGGGCGCCGGCGCCATTTATTATAGAGGCCGTACAAAGAGCTGGATTAATGTCAGTTGTACAAGTATCGTACAACATTGTGGACGGCCATCTACTTAGAGCCTTCATAGATAGATAGCAGCCAGCTACCAACACATTTCATTTACCTATTGGAGAGATGACCATCACACTTGATGATGTGAGTACGTTGGTCGGTTTGCCAGTTGTTGGGCGGACTGTATCTTGCAAGCGTTTGATCGGTGATTACAAAACGAAGCCCAGTAGTTTGATGTTCAAGTTGCTAGGTGAGTACCCAGATGATGTAGACAAGAAGAAAGCGGTGAAGCTGGAATGGTTGAAGGCTAAATTTAGCAAGGTGACCATGAGAGACAGTGCGGAGAAGAGGACATACTCCATTCCGGCGTATTTGTTATTTTTGTTGGGGTGTACTATATTGTGCGACAAGACCGGTAACATGGTAAGCATGGAGTGTCTAAATCTCGTCTTTGATTTGGATCAGATCGGCGAGTATGCTTGGGGCACTGCATGTCTTTGTCGATTGTACGATGAGCTATCGTTGGCCTCACAAAATTCAACGAACTCGATGGCTGGCTGGCTGACGCTCTTCCAATCATGGATTTACGAGCACTTTCCTTATTTGGCGGGTGGCACATTGAAGACGAAATTCGAGGGGCCATTAGCCAGCCGATGGCAGCCTCAGTCAAAGACTACTTCGACGCCTGAACGAGCGTCGCACTTGCGATCTCGATTAGATGATTTGATCCCTGATCAGGTAAAATACAAGTTTAATAATTTGTTATTACTACTTAAGTAGGTTTCTAAATCTATTTTTTTATTTATTTTACTAGGTTTTATGGTCATCGTACACGGCTATTCGTGATCGTTTCATGATGCCACATTCTGTTTGGTTTAGTGGGATGATATGCTGCATGGACCACTTCGAGGCATATCATCCGGACAGAGTATTGAGGCACTTCAACCGGATCCTGATTATTCCAGGTCGTGTATACATGGCAAAGGATATGTACGAAGCTCTAGTTAACAAAGGTCGACTAGTCCCGAACTCAGTATTCGCTACGTATGGCGAACGATTCTCTGATCAGTGGGAGGAGTACTGTCTGGATGAGGAGTCGAGGTCCGTTGAAGTTGAACTTGGGGAGGTAGACACTTCGCCGGATGACATGGATTGGTTCTGGCCCAGATGCATGTTACAACTTAGTAGGCATGGAGCCCATCCACCTCGACCCCATGCGGATCGACCTCGACCACGTGAAGCTCGTATAAGGGGTGGTCCCGATAAGGAGGTCCAACTTTTGCAAATTTTGGAGTTGGTGAAGGTTACACTTAGCGAGGTACGGGGACTTGCGCCATCCGACGCTCATACAGTCATGTGGGGGACCCTAAATGACATTGTTAGATTGATCGAGCCTGATGCCCCCACTTCAACCTCTATCGAGCTCGTCGGATGCCCCACCACCACCTCCAGCTAGCTCGTTGGAGCCACTTCCACCGCCATCGAGCTCGTCAGATGCCCCACAAGCAGCTCCTCCTCATACTACTCTAGAAGAATCACAAGCAGTTGTAAAATGCGTGTTTAGTAGGAAGAAAAAAACACATGACTAGTCTTGTGTGTTTTAGGACTTTATGTATTTTTGATGGATTTTGTTTGGTTTAGATGTTTTTTATTATATATTGTTTAGATGTTTTTTTTTATTTTTTTTTTATATGCATTTTGATTGTTTTAAATGGATTTTTTTTGATGATTTGCAATTTCTATTTTTTGTCCAAAAATACTTAGAATATGTTTTTTATGTTACATTGAAATAGATTTGAGTTTAATTTATCAAAAAATTTAAAAAAATTGCAAATTATGAAAAAAAAAAAATCAAAGATTAAAATCGATAGCTAGCTGTCGAAAACTCTCTGTTTGTTTTTTATTTTTATTTTTTTTGATAATTTGCAATTTCTATTTTTTTTCAAAAACACTTAAAATATGTTTTTTATGTTACATTGAAATAGATTTGGGGTTAATTTCAAAAAACAAAATTGCAAATTATCAAAAAAATAAAAAAAAAAATCAAACAGATTAAAATCGATAGCTATCTGTCGAAAACTCTCTGTTTGTTTGTTTTTTTTTTTTTTGATAATTTGCAATTTCTATTTTTTTGTCCAAAAACACTTAGAATATTTTTTTATGTTACATTGAAATAGATTTGGGGTTAATTTCACAAAAAAAATATAAAAATTGCAAATTATCAAAAAAATAAATAAAAAATCAAACAGATTAAAATCGACAGCTAGCTGCCGAAAACTCTCTGTTTGTTTTTTTTTTTTTTTTTGATAATTTGCAGTTTCTATTTTTTTGTCCAAAAACACTTAGATTATGTTTTTTATGTTACATTGAAATAGATTTGGGGTTAATTTCACAAAACAAAAAAAAAATTGCAAATTATCCAAAAAAAAAAAACTGATTAAAAAAAATAATAACTGATTAAAATCGATAGCTAGCTGTCGATTTTATCTGCCAAATCGACAGCTAGCTGTCAAAAACTCTCAGTTTGATTTTTTATTTTTATTTTTTGATAATTTGCAATTTCTATTTTTGTTTTCCAAAAACACTTAGAATATTTTTTTTATGTTACATTGGAATACAAGTTTTGTGAATAATTAACAAAATATAAATAAAACACAAGACGTAATAACATTGAAATTTACATAATTTAGGGGTCCCCAGTAACTTTACATAGTTTTGTTTGGAGAATTATCACCATTATCCAATATAGTAATAATTTCGAAACTCTCTCGCATGCCAACATTTTGACCTATTAACTCTTGGAATGTTGTAATTCGACCATCCATTTCTGCAGGCTTCCAACCATCAGCTTTAGGATCATGGCATCGGTACCAAAAATCGGCGATAGGAGGTATTGGACAATTGTTGTTCAAGACAACATGCACGAAGTGACAGTTGTCGGCGAATGCCATTCCGTGCTCTTGTCTCTCTCTAAAAAACATCGGATCGCTCGATAGAGGAAGGAACGTGAGACGCTGATACTTGGATAAGTAGACAAGCACAATATTGTATGTTGAAGCAATTACATGACCTATATTTGGAAAAGACATCCAATTGTCACGCGTGGCAGGAACATCCCAGTTACTCACAATAGTTTGCATGCTTCTAACGGTTTCTTCGCCATGGTGCATGTCCGTGTAAATGGAAAAATTAGAAGTCAACTCCCGTAGCATGTCATCTCGTACTCGACCCCATTCATCTTCCCCAAATCCCATCATAGAGGTAACTTCCCGGAATCCACAGTGGCCATCTGAACCGACATTGATGAACATGCATACGAAATCGTGGATGGATCGTCTCAATATACTTATTCTTGCTGATCAAACCTGGTGGCAATCCTACAACTACATCTTCAAATAATGGTTTGAACGACTCTTGCGTCGGTATAGTGCCTTTCCCTGGCTCTTGAGTTGGTATAGTGCTAATAGAATCATTCTAGGGCACTATAAATCTCTTCAGTACAGGTTTCTTGAAAGGTATAAGCTGGAGTATATTAACCAGAATTACTTAGCACAATTATAAATTGCAACAACAATAATGAAATGAGACGATAATAGCGACATTTACCTTTGGAGAACAACTAGCTTGCTTCGATTTTTTTTTCTTTGGCTCCAAATACTCAAAATGTGATTTGTCACGAGTGTGTGATTTTTCTTTCTTATATTTTGCCAGTCGACCTTTGCTAACAACTTTTTCACTTGGCTCCGTAAGGTTAGTCTTCTCTGGGTGGGTAAAATGTCTCAAATGGTTGCGCAATTGAGTCTTTGCATCGAGATCGGCACATTCAAAGAGCTTCTAGTATTCTGATAATTCTTCGTCGATGGTTGGTAGAATGACTTCGTCCGTGGTCGCGACGGGCTCCATGCTCATGTGTTTCCAGTACGAGCCTATTAACTCAAGTGGGAAGGGACATTTGATCATAACAACATACTCATTAAGTTCATGGCAACATGGTAGACCGTGGGTTGTTCGGATGGTGCAACTAACCCATAGCACTCGGTTGCAATAGTTTCGCATTGTCCACCTCAACTTTCAGTTGTTGCAGAGCGAATTTTGAGATACTTCCACAAAGCTCATTGTATATCAACGTTTTGCAAGTGTGTTCGTAAGTATTTTTACTTATTTCAAAAGAAGCTTTGATATCATTGTGTTGTTCGAGAATTTGGTTGTGGACTTTCGTATACAAATCCACAAAGGTGCCAGTTGAATTACGCACATCCCTTTTCATTCGTCTGTGTGCCCCCTCCACCCTACTAGAAGTGTATGTTCTTAAATGAGTACACTTATTTGTCCACACCGATGCAAGTCTCTCCTTGTACGGATCCAACCATGAATTAGCTACATATGCTATAGCCGCCGGATAACCAACACCTTTTCATTGACTCCCACTCCTCATTGAACTCCTTAATATTATTTCTTTCAATAAGAGTCGAAAAAGCCGACTGAAAGTGCTTCCACTTGGTATTTTCCTTTGTGAACATTTTCTTACAATTGGCCAATATATTCTTGTTCACATGCTACCGACATAGCAAGTGATGACTCAATGGATACACATTGGCTACTGCTTTCATTAAAGCCAAATCTCGATCTGTTACAATGCAATTAGGTCGAGGACAACTTGTCACGACCTCCATCAAAACAACGCAATGCTCATTCAAAATTTTCCGTCTTTTCGTGAGCCAAGTATGCAAAGGCAATGGAGAACGTCATGTTGGTACAAGTAAAACCCACAATCTCAAGAAATGGGAGTCCGTAACGATTGGTTTTGTACATGCAATCCATGACGAATATGTACGGATACGACTGTGCCAAATTAATGCATTTCGGGTTGATCCACAACAAGTCGATAATCTCATTAAACTCGTTCGATCTATGGTACGAGAGGTATTCATTTTTTTTAAACTTGGCGAACAATAGTTGCAATTGAGATCTCCCAGATAATTCATTGAAATTTAACTGTTGGATAGTATTGTAAACTGTCTTCATACCAGTTACATTAGACGGGTCATTTTGCTTCAATAATCTTAGAATTGCCCTTGGTTTCACCATTGCTTTCTTCAAAGTGTGAACAAGTGAAGTCTCCTCCTTTGATAATCTTCCGGCATAAGAGTGTCCGTGCAAGTTTTCAAACAAGTTGTAGTTGTGAATATATGAACATCCAATTTCCACTCAGCCTTTTCATCATTCTTGTGTTCTTTTGTCCCCTTCAATTTAAACGGACAATTGCATTTCTTTGAACCGGTGCTCATTTTTCCCAGTCTTTGATCATTTTCACCGGGTACCTTCTTGCCAGCATAAAGGCCCCCACGCTCACAACAAACAATCACATATGGTGTCCTACACCCGCTATTCCCGTCACTCGAACCCGCGATCATTAACACCATTCCAATTCTTTTACATACTTCACGAACCCATGCCAATAAAGCTTCTTTTGTTGGGAATTTTTCTGACGTGGTAAATGAATGGGTACAATCGATCTACACAAAAGTGGAGAGAAGATTAGACAAGTAAATTTGTAACAGGACAAAATTGACACTGAAGGGTCGAATTTTGAACTAACTTTCGACATTACGTTGTCGAAATTTAGTTCAACAATCGACACTTAAGTGTTGAAAATAATGGACAAATTCGACACGTAAGTGTCGAAAATTAGGGACAAATTCGACACTTAACTGTCGAAATATGACTTATATAATAATTGATATTAAATGTTTTCGACGAGTAACTGTCGAATTTGACACAATTTTCGACACTTAAGTGTCGACAATTAGGAGAAATTCGACAGTTACTAGTCGAAAACATATAATATCAATTATTATGTGTTTCGACACATACATGTCGAAACACAAGCACAATTTCGACATGTATGTGTCGAAATGTAATGGCGGATTTTATAAAAGTAAAAAATCAAAGTCGACGTTTTAGCTCAAAAAAATACATGGATACATACATGTATCCATTCTATTGTCATTTGACGCCATTTTGCAAGTTGTGTAAGGTTTTGATTTCTTTAGTTTTGAGGTTTTTAGGAGGGTTTTTGGGGGAGTGAGAAGAAGGAGGTTGAGGAGGTGAGGGGTTTGTGAGTGAGGATGGAAATGGGTTTTGAGGGGTTTTGATTATTTGGTATTGAAGAAAGGAAAATAATATTTGTAGTACTTTTTTGGTTTTGATTTTCATTAAGGGTATTAAAGTAATTTCCTATTTATTATTTAATTTTTATTTTTTTAGTATTGAACTAAGGAAAAGTTGGGATTTGTTATAGTGATTCCCGGAGAATAATGATCCCCGATCTATTTTTCTTTTCCTCGCTTTTTTTGAGGAAAAAGTTTTTTCCTTATTTTAGGTTAAAAATGTTTTCCATTTTCCCCCCAAATTATTTTACCTACTAATTTACATTTTAACCAAACAAAGAAATTGGATTACTTTGACTTTTCACAATTTTACTTACCATTTTTCACAAACCAATCAGAGCCTATATAACTCCTTTTCAATTAGGGGTTTTTGTGAATAAGTCCACAACCAAACATCTTTATTATTTTAGGCTTAGGGGCTATATCTCTTTCACCAATAAGCCCATCCATTTAATATTTATTGTAAATAAATGAAACATTCATGTCTATGCCAATATTACCCCCAACCCTTTATTATCTCCTACATGTCAAAATAGTGTCTCTTTATTGGTTAATGAGTTTCCTTTTTATAAGCAATAGTTTGACTAAAAAACTGTAGTAGGTAAATGCAATATTTATAATTTTCCATTTGAGGAGATTTAATACACAATATTTATATTAATTACAAAAAACCCACAATTACAAGAATCACGCATATTATTAACTAGTATCTCACTCGTGCGATGCACAAGAGTTAATTATAAGATTATAAAGCATTAATCTAAAAAAATCAACGAAAAAATACTAATACTAACACTAAACCTAGGGGTGGATTCGGTACGGTTGCCAAACATTTGGCTTAATACCGTATACCTACCGTACATTGTGGTATTGAAAAATTCCATACCGTTACCGTACCAAAAAGTTCGGTATACCAATGTTTGGTATACCGTTATTTTCGGTACGGTACAATCGGTACGTGGTACTCTACCGTTCTTGGTGATGTATCAAAGATTAAAGAACAAATGAGTTAACAAATATGTAAATCTCAATTGAAAATAGTTCTAGTTACTCTTGTATCTAGGGGTGGAAATCGGAACCGAAATTCCGATTTCCGCCGATTCCGTTCCGAAAAATTCCGAATTTGGAACAGATTTTTCATTTCAGAATTCCGAAATTCCGATTTCCAAAATTTCCGAAAAAAATCGGATCGGAATCGGAATGTGATATATAATATCCGGAATTTCCAATTTTCGATCCAAATTAATCCGAATATTTCCTATTTTTTTCTGAAAATTAATATGTATTTAAGAATAATTATATACTTATTTACATATTTTTTATACTAAAATTTAAACTAAGAATAGAAGCCCAACAATGTTGGCCCATTTTACAATTTTACCAAGTATTAGCCCATTTTACAATTACAAATACATTTGCTTTCCAAACCCTATCCATCTCCTCTCGTGCGCCGCTCCCCTCTCCACTGTTCTATGTTTCTTTCTTCACTTCATTCTTAATTCTTCTAGATCACGCATTTTCGTCTGTATAGTAGTTTTTTTCTCCACGTGCATTTGTTTGCGGATCCCGTAGATATCTATTTGTTTCGGAATACGAAGAGAAGAAATAATAGCAGTTGTTCTTTCAAGATTTGAGGTTTTATTTCTCCATTTCTAAGTCTGTTCCTAGAAATATTTCAGCCTTTTCATTCGGATTCTCATTCTTGGTTGTGATGCACTGTGTGGAGAAACAACCATGGATTATTTTTGGGTTTTAGCTATTTTTTATTGGCTTCAAAGTGTTTTTTTTCTTCCCCACTTTCATTTTCAAATTTCTTCAAAATTCCGAAATTTCCGAAATTTCCTAAATTTTCGGGATCGGATCTCATTTTATGATTCCGAAATTTTCGGAATCGGAATTAGAACGGATATTGTAGTTCCGAAAAAATTCGGAATTTTTCTGAAACAATCTTTTCCGATCCGATTAGTCCGATTTTCACCCCACTTGTATCTAATTTTCTAAGAAGGCCCGAGTGTATAATCACGAATAATTAACATACTTCAATGAAACAAGAATATAAACAAAACTAAATGTGGTTTAATGAA